AATCTATTTTAAGTTGATGGTCACTTGAGTTCAAATATATTCTAAAATCACTACAACTTTTACCCTGCCACATTTGCTTTGTCATTATTTTTTATTTCTTTTGTGTGTGTGTGTGTGTATCCCTTAATTTATTATTGTAATTACATGAGATGTTCCTACTTTGGCCTTTTAATTTTTGTATTAGCCTAATAGTTGGTTAATCCACTGCTTTTACTAAGTATTTGCCTTTGTCAGTGAAAATTTTTTCTTTCCTATATTTTTTATTCATATTTTTTATCTTTTTAAAAGAGTCCCATAACATCTCTTGTAATACTGGTTTAGTGGTGATGCACTCCTTTACCTTTTTCTTGTCTGGGAAACTCTGATTTCTCCTTCACTGCAAACTATCCTAAATGATAGTTTTACTGGGTAGAGCAATCGTAGTTGTAGGTCCTTGCTTTTTATCACTTTGACTATTTAGTGCCAATCCCTTCTGGCCTGCAAAGTTTCTTTTGAGAAATCAGCCAACAGTCTTATGGTAGCTCCCTTGTAGGTAACTAACTGCCTTTCTCTTGCTGCGTTTATGATTCTCTCTTTGTCCTTAACCTTTGGCATTTTAATTATGATGTGTCTCAGTGTGGGCCTCTTTGGATTCATCTTCTTTGGGACTTTCTATGCTTCCTGGACTTGTATGTCTATTTCCTTTGCCAGGTTAGGGAAGTTTTCAGTCATTTTTTCTTCAAATAGATGTTCAATCCTTTGCTCTTTCTTTTCTCCTTCTGATACCCTTGTGATGCGAATGTTGGTATGTACACTTGATGTTGTCCCAGATGCCCCTTAAACTATCCTCATTTTTTTATTCTTCTTTCTTTGCTACTAACTTGTCTTGCAGATCACGGATTTGATCCTCTGCTTCACCTAACCCACTGTTGATTCCCTCTAATGTATTCATTTCAGTTATTGTATTCTTCCTTTCTGACTGGTTCATTTTTTATGTTTCCTATCTCATTGTTCAAGTTCTCACTGAATTCATTGATTCTTCTCCTAAGTTCATTGAGCATCCGTGTAATTGTTGTTTTGAACTCTGCATCTGGTTAATTGCTTGTCTCCATTTTGTTTTTATCTTTTTCTGGAGTTTTGTCCTGTTTTTTCATTTGGGACATGTTTCTTTGTCTCCTCATTTTGGTTAACTCTGTTTGTTTCTATGTATCAGGAAGATCTGCTACGTCTCCCAGTCTTAGTAGAGTGACCTTATGTAGTAGGTGTCCTGTGGGGTTCAATGGTGCAGTCTCCCTTGTCACCTGAGTTGGGTGCTCCAAGAGTGTCCCTTTTGTGGGTTGTATGTGCCCTCTTGTTGTAGTTGAGCCTTGATTGCTGTTGACACATCAGTGATTGGACTGACCCTCAGGCTGACAACCAGCCCTGACTACAGTGAACAAGCTGTTTTGCAGGGGCTGACTTATGGAGCAAGAGTCGCTTTGGTGGAGCTCCAGAGCTAGTCGAGTCCACCCTTCAGGTGTATCATTTGTGGAGCTGGTTTGATGGTGCTCTGGTGTGGTCTGAAGCTGGCCACCAGGTACATTGGTTTTGGAGCCTCTTGGAAGGGGCTCTGGTGCAGGTGAGGTCAGCCACCCTTTGTGCTTAGGTTGAGGTAGGAGCTGTGCAGTGATCTGCAGTTGATTGATGCTTGTGCTGGGCTTGGAGATGCTTGGAACAGGCTGTTCTGCCAACCGAGGCTGGCTGCCACTAGTGTCAGACTTGGGACCCTTTGGTAGGCACCACAGTGTGAACTGCGACCAGCTGCTACTTGTGCCAGTTTTGTGGCCACTTAGTTGAGGCTACATTCCAAGACAAGACTGGCCACTGCTTGTGTCAGGCCTAGGGTAGCTTAGCAAGAGGTACAGAGCACATCAAGGCCAGGTGCTGCTGCTTTGGGGTTTGTGGACCTTTGAGACATTTTAGCGTAATCCACAGTGCGAGCTGAGGTGGGCTACTTATGTGGAAGAGCAACTGGAAGAGGTTTGGCTTGGCCACGTGAGTGGGGTGGGGTGAACAATCTTAGCCAGATGAAGGGAGAACTCGGGTTTGCTGCCTGCCTTTGCTGGCCCAGTTAGGTGGGCAGACAACTCAACAAAGGAACATGGCGCCTGCCAGCACTTCTACATAGGAGACTGTCCTGACCCCTACCCCTCCAGCCCTCGCCCTGAAGCTAATCAATTCCTCCTTGTATGTCCCTGGTGCTTTTCAAGCTGCTACCTCTGTGCTGCAGACCAGAGCAAGTGAGTTTGTAAGGTAGTGAGTCTGTGCTTGGGCCCTTTAAGACCTGCAGCACCTAGGTCTGCAGCAGCCCTCCGTGTCACTGGATGCAATCCCCACTGGTTTTCACAGCCAGGTGTTTTGGGGACCCCTCCTCAGCCAAGATATCCCTCCCAATTCTTAGTTGCCACACCATGTGTGTGGGACCTGCCCGTTCCTTTTCTCCACCTCCCAACAGTCTCAACATGGCTTCTTCTGTGTATGCTTAGTTATAGGACTTCTGTTCAGCTAGACTTCAGGTGCTTCTCAATGACGTTTCGTCTACAATTTAGTTGTAATTTTGAGGTGGTTGTGGGAGGAGGTGAGCACAGCGTTTACCTACGCTGCCGTCTTGACCAGAAGTCCCCCTTGGGGGATTTTTATTTTGGGTTTCAAGCTGAAAGGTTCTGGGAGTTTAGAAGTTGGTTTCGTTAGGAATAACACTCATAGCAGCACTGAGTACCTGTGACCAGCCAGGAGCTGGGCTCCCAGCACTCCAGGTGGGTTCTCCTAGTCATCCTCACAGTAACGCCATGAGGCAGGGATGGGAAGGAGAAGTAGGATGTGAGTGGCTTGGCTAGAATTCACACAGCAGCAAAGGGCACAGCCCCCAGCCTGGCAGGCCTCCATGCCTCCAGAAAGTGCCAGATGGATCCCATAGCCTGAGCAATTTCCTGAGGTGAGAGGTTTGAGCCAGCCCATCCCTCCCTGTCACAGTGCCTCACTCCACCACAAGGGGGCTCCAACTTCCAGCTCCTGGGGTGCAGCAAACTCAGGAACCAGGAATCTAGAGGTCAGGGATCTCCCTAGGAAAGGGGGCCACCAAGGGTCTTGGCAACACCAGGACACCGTTTTGCGGATCTTAGTGGGAAAGCTCTGAGCATCTCACCATTGGAAATGATGTTGGCTGTAGGCTGTAGATGTTCTTTATCAAGTTAAGGAAGTTCTCCTCTGTTCCTAGTTTGCTAAGAGTATTTATCATGAGCAGGTGCTGGCTTTTACCACATGCTTTTTCTGCATCTGCTGATATGGTCATGTGAGCTTTCTTTTTTAGCCTGTTGATGTCATGATTTTCAAATGTTGAACCAGCCTGGGATAAATCCCACTTGGTTATGGTGTGTGATTCTTTTCATACGATGTTGGATTCAATTTGCCAATACCGTATTGAGGATTTGTGGTCCGTGTTCATGAGAAATACTGGTCTGTAGTTTTTCTTACTTGTCTGGTTTTGCTCCTGGCCAGGCCCTTTCAGCTCTGTCACCTCATTTTCAAAGCCTCACTCCAATCCTGCAAAATGGGGACTCTGCCCGCACCCCACTCCCATTGTGCGGATGTGGTAACTGTGGCTTGGGAGGGTGAAGTGATTTGGCCCATGTGATGCAGCACAGCAGGTTTGAAACCACTGCACCCCGGGCTTGTCTGATGAGAATCCTTCCCTGTGTGTAGAGTCTCTGGCCCCTGAGCTGACTGCCTTGGTGGAAACTGAGGCAACGGGGGGCGGTGGACGGACAGTACCTGCAGCTGCTGCAGCTCACTCATGTTGCTCTCGCACTGCGCCATCATGTCCCGCATCTGGTTCTCATGTTTTTGCTGCTGCTGCAGCCGCTCTGCCTTCTGCCTCTTCTCCTCTTGCTGGGAGAACTGCAACAGAGAAAGGGTGGGTGTCCTGGGGAGGCCTGTCGGAGGGACTCGTTTACGCACAGCCCTGGTACCCCTCACCACACTGGCTGTGCCCCCATTTTAAGTCCTCCCCCTGAGTTGGCGGGGACACGACACTGTGCCTGACATGTGCTAGGACAGCATGTGTATCATGCAGGAATCACAGGAGCCCAGGGCCACTGACTCCATGTCCCCGAGCCACGTGAGTGGCGTGGGAGCGGGGTCTTGGTAATGAGAGGAAGGGGCTGACCAGCAGAGGACGCTGCAGGATAGAAGCACCGGAGTGTGAAGGGGCATGGGGCGTGAGAAAGCACCGCCGGCCTTCCTGCGTCCATCAGACAGCGGGTCACTGGTCGGCTTCCGGCTGAGACTCGCAGACCTCCTCCTGAGACCCTGTGCGGCGTCTAACATTTTACACCCCTAACCGTGTGAGGCTCAGGCCTGGGTCCCTCCGCCCCTGCAGACCCACCTGCTTGATCTTCTCGCGCTGCTCGGCCGCGTTGCCCGCCCCGCTGATGTGCAAGCTCTTCTTGTACATGGCCATGCGTGTCTTGCCCTCGCTCCTCTGGATCTTGGGCAGCCGCGCCTTCTCCTGCTGCTGCCGCCCCTTCAGCTGTTCTATCATGCGCTGGTTGTACCGCTGCATCTGCTCCCGCTCCTGAGGGGACAGCCAGCCGGTGCTGAGGGCAGGGGCCAGAGGCCACCACACGCAGCCAGGGGCCCAGCACGCACGAGGCCGAGGACGCTCAGCACAGCAAGGCTGAGTCACTGCACGTCTGCTGCTAAGTAACAGCCTCTGTTCTCACTTTAAAAATGACGGTGACTAACATTTTGGAGTCTTCTAAGTGCCTTCTCATCTAATCGGTGGCAGCATGCCATCACGAGCTATAATCTCAAAGCACAGTGTACACTACAACGGATGGTTTCTCATTTTCATGGCAGATGTCAATTCGTATTTTAAAAAGTCTTGACAAATATGAATTATTCCTTCACCAAACACCTGTTTGTATTTCAAAACTCAGTACATGTTGCACCTGCACGAACCTCCCACAGCAGCTGGGCAGCCAGAGCTCGGGTTATCTGTGGCCCCACTAAGGGGACACCTGCAGAGTAAAGGGTGCTCTGGCCACCACAGCAGGGGCCCTCAGCTGGTCAGGGGAGATTAGAAAAGGCTCCCTGGCAGGGGTGGTATTTAAATTGGTACCTAAAAGTGTTCTAATGCATGAGAAAGAGAATAGAAAGGCAGGACAAGGAAAGGAAAGGGAAAAGAAAAAAAGCGTGCAAGTGACACACACTGGGTGTCAGTGAGGGAGCAGCAGAGGCCATCGGCTTCCGCACGGTTCCCCTATTCCTGGCCCCTTGAGTCGAGGCAAGACATCCCCCAAGGACCTCCGGGGCCTCACCGTGCCCTCCCTGACCCCTCTTGGGA